ATACCTAAAAACACCGTGGTAATATAAAATAACACCGAGAGTGATAAAATAAAAAAGAAGAACTAAAATATGAAACACAAAGTATAGATAATGAGGGACAGATAGCAGATACAGAATTAATCCATGTACATGTATGTATATACATCATTAAAATTTAAAAAGTTATTACTGGGAAATAATGTCAGACTTATAAGTTGCTACTTATCAAATACAAATTTTTATTCTAAACTTTTTTTTAACAGGAAAAAATTTCGCAAAGTGACTTCCCTGCGATACGGAACACTGCATTCGAAGCGAGGCTTGAAATATGCAAAAAATTACATGCGTGTCCCTCAACTGAAAACGCATTAGGTGCATTAGGTGCGCATGTGCCTGTGCTAGACATGGGTCGTAAGCTTCACGTTCGGAAGCTACATGCAGTAGCGCAGCTGAGAATTTTCGCACCCGACACGCAAATCAAACCAAAAGAGCAAGTCCTATTCTATATCCGATATATGTATGTTGGGTAGGGAATTTCACGTCCTAATCTTTTCGTACCCTGTACTAAAGATAACACAATAACATTCCCGCAGGAACTCCTGAGCGTCGTCCCGAGAAGGGAGGGGACATATGTATATTATATAAGAAGAAGAAAAGAAGGGACAACCGATGGAGGTGAGATGAGTTTGAGGAGCTTGAATGCAGATCGATAATTTTATTAAAAACTCAGGCAACAATCAAATGATTTTAGGGTCGCGGTTGGTCTCATCATACATAGAAACGTTTGGATCTGCTAACAGGCGTCCACTGTGCGTTTAAGATGTTTCAGGTGGAAATATCGCTACGTGTTTAATAAAGAAGAACTCATTCCTTTGAGTTATAACACTAAGGTATACAGTATAAATGTATTTTTGTTTGCTTAAACAATGATTTAATATCATAAAATAATTTACAGCGTGTCCTACGGAAAAAGAAAATTGTTCAATATTTAATAGTGTCATTGATTTTTATGCAGTGCATTTTAAATCGTTTCTTTTCAAACTGGCCGGACAATTTGCTTTAATGCCGTTACACCTATCGGTCTATAACTTTCACAGTAGTTTTATAATTACATTCCTTATAGAAGTACGTATGGTTTTTGTTTTATTTAATGTTTTTTTAGCAACTTAATTGAAAAATATCGTACGTATTTCTATAGCCAATGGCATTTAGTTGGTATTTTTTTTTTGTGTTTTTCGTTCCAGCTCTAAAATTTCACGAAACTAGTGTCCGGCCATGAAGTCTTCGATTTCAACTCTGTCGCAGCCATTTTGCATTTTTAATTAATAAACAAAAATTTTTTCAGAAAAAAATATTTTTATTTTTTTATTTATTTTTATATTTTGTGCACAAAAATATTTTTATTTTTTTTCTTAAAAAATTACTTTTACCTCCATTATTTTTTCGCACCCTAAAATTTTAATACAAAACATATATTATTTTTGACATATTTCTTTCCAAAAAAATTTTTTTCCGAAAGAAATAAGTTTCACTGGAAAAATTTATTGCTCTCCAAAAAATCTTTATTTCAAATATTTGGTATATTTTTTCTAATTTGGGTAGTAATATTTTTTTCCTAAAAAACCTTTTCGCTAAAATTATTTTTTCCCCAAAAAAATTCTTATACAACTAGGTTTTCTAAAACATTTTTCTAATTTTGATAAAAATATTTTTTTCTGAAATTTCTTGATCAAAATACCTAAATGAATATTCGGCACACTCTCAAAATAGAAAATATAAAACTAAACACTAAAATCTTTCACGACTTCCTTATAAATAAATAAATAAATTGGAAAGGGAAATTAATTAAAAAAACGTAAACGGTTGGCTTCCTACATACCATTACTATATGACTTACTAAAAAAAAGTCGAATAGGATTAATTTTGCAAGTAATTAGCTCGAGAGTCAAGTCATAAAATGTCTATGAATAAAGTATGTAAAAGTTTTGAACCATTAACAAGTGATTTGAACATTAGTCTTAACCTTTTATTTACGTTATATAAAAGGGCATACAATACCGTGTTGAATGCCATATTAAAATTTGATGTAAGTTTATTTGGTTTGTGACAGTATCACTATGAAGAAAAAACTTAATATTATTGAGATTTTGATTAAAGAAAGTATTACAAGTACTTGCCACCACTTGTCCCCGCTAGGTTTTTGTTTCTGATGATCCTTTAAAGCTTTGGGATCAACAATAAACCATTTTTGGCTGATTAGAAATTAGGAATAAATTAACAAAAGACTTCAATTTACATATGTACATTACATTATGTAGAAATTATTTTTTTGAACAAATGTGGTAATTGAAAAATTCGTTTTGAATACTGGGTAGCAAGTCGCAAGGAATGTTAAGTTTGATTTACGCGACCAAGATGTTGTTGAATCGCAGCCATCTTGAAAACAAGGATGGTCAAAGTATCACTAACTCAGGGGAACAGTAATTTTCGGGCCTCAACCAAACTATGCCCAAACGTTAGTATCCATTCGTGAAAGTACAATTCCAAAAGGATTTCGTTCCACCACATCCCGGTTTTTTTTCATATGGTGGGTACAATTTTCTACTTTTATATCTGTTACTTTTCTTTAAGAAAAACTTTTGTTTTACATTTTTATTAATTTCTTAGAAAATAAAGATTTTGCAATAACATAAGTACATGCATATCTTCTTGAGTTCTTAAGAAGTCTTCTTAAAATTGTTAAAAGGAATTCTTCTTCGAAATCATGGCCACTTTAAGCATTTCTTATATGGATGTTCATAAGTGCGTTGAAACCTTGAAACAGAAGCACCCGAATCTAGAACTGGACCTTCTAAAGCGAATATTTAGCAAATTGAGCCGACATTTTCTAAAAAAGTTAAAAAATGGCTTTACGGTTCACGACGTAAGACGTTCTTCTTTGCTAAAAACGAAGATTGGGTTGCAAGTTGCTTTAAGGTATCCACTATCAGAGATTTTGGTGCATTATCAGAAATTGAGGAAGTGACAGATCCAACACCTTCTGAGCAGTCAAAAATTGGACCTTATCTTAGTTTTCATATTTCTACTATATGAAAAGTGGGCGTGATTATTCTTGGACTTCTATTAACTTATTTCCTAAGTTTTATTGAGATACCTTAATTTTTACTCCAATTACAAATTAATTCCGCGCCTCCATATTTCTGAAAATTATACTTATGTATATGAAACGTGGGCGTATTTATTGTCAGATTTAGCCCATTTTCTGCACCATCCATTCTTTGTCTTCTATTTACAAATTACCTAAGCTTTATAGCGGTACCTGAATTATTACTCCAGTCATTAATTAATTCCGCACCTCCATACAAAATTTCTCACTGTGTGCCGGCCGCCACGTTTGTTAATATATTTTTATTTATGCTTAAACATTTGGTGATTGAAGTTGGACTAGTTTTATAATTATAAAAGCAAAACGTTTTTGTATTTCAAATAAAAATATAATGTTTGATGTTAATGTAGTAAGCAAAAGTAAAACACTTTTGTAAAATTTTGCCTTTGGTATATCGAGCCCTAACTGCCAAAATGATGTAAGTGACATTTTTAAACCTTTTTTTTTTTGCTGCAGACAAAATAGCGCTTGACTCTCTTTGGCGGTTGTGGCTCAATATAACACCACATTATTTCGTGTAAGCAAACAAAAAAAACAAACATTTTTCTTCTGAAACTTAAAGAGGTAAAAACAACAAAATACAAACTATTTATGAATAATGTAAAGAAATCCATAACACGAAAACCAGATGACTCATTCATGAAGCGGTTAGTGACACAACGATATCGATGCATTACACTGGTGGAATAAATAATAGAAACGCCTTGTTTATCAGCACTTATTTTGAATACATTAAATTTAATTGAAACGATATCGCGTCCGCACTAACCACTTCACATTTTACAGTAAACGAAGAAAAAAACTGTTTTCGACAGTTAACACTTTTAAGTTCCATTAGTATTAGAAAGAGAAAAGACTTTCGTCAACTCATTTGCATTAAAACGGATATGATATACATATGTATGTAGGTATTTAGCTTTTTATCATATGACGAACGTGCGAAGGCGAGCGAGTACGAGCTTGCATAAATGGAACGAGTATGCAACGAACAGATACACATGTGCTTAGTAGTTCACATATTACAAAAACAAAGCAGCAATAATGGTTAATACATGATACCCGGATGCATATGTATGTATATGCGCGAATATACGAATATCGCAACGTACTCGCACAAGAGACCTGCAGTAAGTTGGAAAGCAAAAATGTTGTTGTTGTTGTTGAGGCGTTTTTTAGACTTACAACATAGGCCGACGTAGAGGGTACCGACAAACTCGATCCGGAGCTACCGCGTGCACCAAAACCATACGTCTATTTGAGGAGGAAGTGTAGAGGGGGGCATTTACCATTTACCAATTACCATATTGTTTATGTGGTTGTTATGTAATGAAATGTTAAGTAGTAAGTAAATAAGAAAAATACAATTGTTCCGAATTTCAATACTTATAATAATTTTAATACTTTACTTTTGTGAAACGAAAAATAACTATATAAAAAAAGCGGCTTATAACAAAACTAAAGTCACATAAGCTGCTTCAAAAATAAAGAAAAAGTCGTTCAGAAACAATTTACATAACTACGCGATAGTAAAGCATTTGCATAGAATATACAGCTTTTGTTTGATTCTCTAAATGGGACGAACTATTTAAGAGGCTAAATATGTGAAAAATTTGATTTGTTTAAAAAATAAAAATTTCACTACAAAATCGGCGTGTAACACAATGTAGCAGCGCACCGCCCACAACCCCACCATTAACTACTTGTGTTTCAAGAAAATTGCTAAACCACCAAGCGGCTGTCTAACAAATTAACTAAAACAAAAACAGAAAAACACAAAATAAAATGAAATCAATTAAACAGAACTACATAAATCAGCGGGCGTGCATATGTATATTTATTTATTTTTTTTTTTTGTTTAAATGCACACACCGCCATAAGATGAACAGTAGATGGATGTGTTGAAAGGAAGGCGGCCACTTACAGTAGGCGGTGACAGATTGATTGTCGAGCCGCGTCGCTCTTGTGGTCCGATGCTAGAGTGTCGACGCGTTGGCAGTCCACTGCCTGGCGTACCACCAGGCGAGGAAGCACACGATGGCGCTATGCGTATTTTCGGCGTCATCAATGTGTTATCCGAGAGACGGCGATTGGGAAATGCATTAGCCACGCGCAGGAAATTACTATCGGGCGATGAAGGTGAGCAACCGAACCACCAACCTCCCAGCATGCCTGAACCTGTAAATAAGCGAACTGGAAAAATTAAAAATATTCAAAACAACATATGCTTAGTCCATGGTGGCTACGGAAGTAAGTACGTATACATGTATGTATGTATGAATATAGTATTGTTGCATATTCAGATGTATGTATGTACATGAGGGTGATCCTTAAAAAAAATCAAATGAACGATTCTCTTCAGTCTCGCCGCCTCAATCGGTAATACCACACGGTCACAGATATCACATAAAAATTTTGGTCCCGATTGGAGACGGTTGAGGCGTGTCGCACAGTGGCCAAAGTTCAGATTCCTCTATAGAGACTCAAAAAATGGAAATAAATTTTTTTCCCTCATCTAATACCCAAAATTGATACTACTAAAGTCCAAGATATTGAGTCGGTTAAGCCGTGTCGCAAAGGGGTCAAAAGCCAGATGCCTCTATGGAGACTCAAAAAATTAAACATATTTTTTTTTCGTTTAATACCCAAAATCAATACTACTAAAGTCGAAGTGTTGCCGTTTTGAGTCGGTTAAGACGTCTTCATAGGGTAATCCGAACTTTGACGCCTGTGCGCCACGCCTTAGCCGACTCGGAAAGGTCCAAAATTGGTATGTGATATCTTCGACTATAGTAGCATCGACGTAGCGGTTGGCGCTTAGCAAATCTGATGTAAAAATTTGCTTCCTACATTTGCGGACCACCCTAATATACGTACATACAACATATGTTTGTTCTCATAAGTATGTAAGCAAAACAACAACCAGTTCAATTGTGTGCAAACAAAACGATGTTCTCATGAGGCGATTTTCCTGAGGCGATTAGTTGAATCAAACCAACACCAGACGCCTCATGTAAACACCGTATAAGTAGGTGCTGCTATTGTGTGTGTGTGTAGCTTCGAAGAGTGGTGATTAGTTGTGGTCAAATGCGCTTTATTGCCTAGCCACATGATTAATATGTAAAACTAGGATAGCTGCATTTTACAAAGAACCTCATTAATTTACTGGAATGTTTATCATACGCCCTGTAAGCAGCAAGTTCTCCATACAAAAAAATAAATATACAAGTAAATATGTAGATAGGATGAAAGCAATGCGGAATTCTACATAAATAAAGTAGAATTTGATAAAAAAGTGCACTGGGGAAACAGTTGAATTCCGGCAACTAAATATAGTGCTTATCATAACTATACAACACTCACATATGGACAAGATTTCGAGCCCTAATCGCTAAAAAATGTAAGCGAAATTTTTTTCAAAATTTTATTTTTGATGCAGAAATGCATCTAAATGCTCCAGGAACATTTCTGCATCAAAAAAAATTTAGAAAAAATGTCGCTTACATCTTGTTGTCGGTTAGGACCCGATTTGGTTATTTATTTTTAAATTTGAGTTATTTTTTTATTAAAGTATGACTTATTTATTTTTTAACAAAAACCGATTAAATCCATGTTTCAATGTTAGTGCACTATTAAAACAAACTTTAGTTTAAATTTCGAGCTTTTTAATTCGATTTCTTAGAAAGATTTTGAGTATGCAGTTTTACAGCCCATTAAATTTTGGTATAACGAAGTGTAAGTTGATTTTTGAATGGGTTTGAATTTTGACATGACATTGACAATGGCAAAATCACCCCAACTAGAATTGAGAATATTTACAGCTACGTATATCATTTTTATGTATAACCTTTACAGTACTGAGTGTGGAAAGCAGCTAACAAAATTGCTTCACATTTAATGACGAACCCATATGTTTTGCGAATTGTAGACACTATTTAGGGTTTTCTAATAAAAAAAGAGAGTACCAATTGAATTCCATCAATATCAGATAAAATTTAATATTTTGGCCTACAAGGGTGGAGGACGTGGCAATAACCCCGGCACTACCATCTATCTATATATATAATACGCGAAGGCATTTTTTGTTCAGGATAAAAGATCTGCACCGTTCGTTCGATTTTCAAAAATAGGGTGTCAAATTAAAGCGCTTGGCCTGTAGATGTGCAAACTGGTTTTATTTTTTCGAAAAGAGATGCTACTTGTTGAACAATTAAATTCAAATTATTCTAAAATCAGTGCAATCCAAAATTAGGTGTTAAATTAAAAGGCTTGGACTATATGTGCAACAAGGTTTTACTTTTTCGAAAAGAGTTGCCACCTTTAAAAAAATATATTCAAATTATTATTAAAAATAAATCAGTTATTACAAAATGGGTATCAACCGAAATGGTTTTGAAAAGCTTTGTTTCTTAGCTGAACTATAGGAGGGTTCCCACCTGTTTAAAAAATCATATCAGGTAAGACAAATATGTTTCACCTTAACAGTGGCTACCGAAAGGGGTTTCAGAAAGTACTATATAATAATATTGGGAAAAGGGTTGCCACCTGCTTGAAATGTCGAATTTAGTTTACTTATACTTACAAAAGTTATACGAAATATGAAAATATGGATGTCAAGCGAAGGAGTGTTAAGAAATCTTTAGTTTGAACCCTAAGAATATTTTTGAGGTGCTCGAAGAGGGTTGTTGCCACCTGTTTGAAAAGTTAAATTCAAATTACTTTATAAGTTAAAGGAAGTATTAAAATATGGGTATCAATGGAAGGGAGTTTGAAATTTTTTATTTGTGATCTGTATTTAGCGGGGTTGCCACATGTTTGAAAATTAAAATTCTACTTAATTAATTAGTTAATTAAAATATGTATCGCAGTTAACAATGATTAAGCTTGAAAATACTTTTGAAGAGAGCTGCCACCTGTTGGAAAGGTCTACTCAATTAACTAATTCAAAAAGAATATTAAATATAAAAATACCGTAGTCAAACGAAAGAATCTTAAGAAATCTTTAGTTTGAACATTTCGAATGTTTGAAAAAAGTTGCCACGTGTTTAAAAAGTTACATTCAAATTATTCAGTAAGTTGAATGAATTATTAAAAGATGGTTATACATCGAGATGGGGTTTAAAGGGATTTATTCCTGACCTTTATTTAGGAGGGTTGCCATTTGTTCCAACAATCAAATTCGAATTAGTTCATCAGTTTATTGAAATACATGGGTATCACAATGTCAGAAGATTTTAGCTTGAGAATAATTTTGGAAAGGAATTTAAAAAAATGAGAGGTCAACTTGGAGACCTTAGCTTGTAGATGAATGATAAATTTTTATGTTTTTAATTACGAACTTTTGTCTTCGGTATAGGGTGATTTGAAATTCGATGAAAATAAAAACATGCACTATGCGAGACTGCTCTTAACTCAGAAATGGCTGCAAGGTTTTGATGAAATATGGCACCCGGACCTCTTATAGCTGTGACTAAAATTTGGAATATTTTTTAAGTTTTTGAAATTCAGTTTTGGGCATTTTAACGCCATGCGGGTTCAGTAGTATTTCATAATTCCCTATTCCTAAGAAAAATTAGAGCAGATGTAAAGTTTCAGCGACGTTAACTATTCTTTCCACCTGCCTCTATATAGTCGAAACATTATGCGTCGCATCGAAAGCACCAAACTGAGGGTCTACTAGGGTTGCCAGACATACAGCTTTTGGGAGTAAACGTGTTGCTTTTCAAAAAATTGAATTTTGTTTTCAGTAACTACTTATGAAAAGCATCTGTGAAATAATTTTCAACGAAAAATTTCAGAAAAACAGTCGAAAACGTAACCGTTTCATAAACATTTTCTGTACTTTCTAGGGGGAATCCGATAAAAGATCGAAAATTTTTTTTCCATTTACGTATACTTTGCTGGCTGAGTACATACATAGGTATGCCGAAGCAATGATAACACTGGCCAACAAAATTTTGCGGCAGAGTCAATAAGAGCTGATTTCTATAGATTTTTGTACGCAGAATCAGAATCTGATCTAAGAAATACCAGTTTGGCTCTAGCTTATGAGATATATACTTTATGGTAGTATTTATTTTTTTAATTTTTGCACAGGCAAGCAAAAAGTGGAACATTTCCGCATATTTCTACTTTAAAAATTTTAAAACAACTGAGAAAATTTTATGTTATAGCTACTCACTGTGTATATTTTGTTTAAACTTCTTTTGTAATTTATGAGCAATGTCCAGCTTCTTTTACATCTTATTCAAAATATTCCACCAGACCCCGTTATTCCATAGTAGATGTTTAAAAAATGCAAAAAATTAGTATTTTGGCACTTTAAAGACAAAATATCTCAAAAACTGGGGCCAATCCAATTTTTGGAATTCCAGATTCTAATTCCACGGGAAATATCTTAATCAGGGTTCACTTTCCGTGCCGCAAATATTTTTTAAATTTTGTTGACCTGTGTAAAAGATGGAGGTATGCTGCATGCAGATGACTTCATTGTATGCACACTTGTACCTTTCGCGGTCATTGGTGTGTTTAGAGAATTTGCGGAATTTTGTGGCCTTGTGACAAAGGTCGATTGGCATTGTTGGCATAGCCAGCTATTTGATGGAGATGAAAATGAAATAAATATCCATTACGGCCTTTTAATTTGCTAATGTAGTATATATTATCAAATACTGTCGACTGAGAGAAAGAGAGAGATAGAAATAAAAGAGAAGTACAAATGCTTTCTAAAATTGGAAAGCGCGTTATTTTTTATTAGCAGGGATTACGCTATTTAAACCCTTAAAATCTGAAATATTATTAAATTCAACCAAATGCGGACTGTTTTGCAGAATTTTTCTTAAAAATACAAAAATATTTCCTTAGTAAACTTATGTACATTAGGGTGGTCCAAAACAAGCAAAGTGGGAATTTTAATGCTCTCACCCCCTAAGATGGTGTTATATCGAAAAAGTATAGCTACCCCTATTTTTTATTTTGAAATAAAGAAATATTTAGTAGTCGCTGAAAGCGCTCAAAGTTTTCCATGTATTTTATATGGGAAAAAAGAAGTTTTCGTAGAAATGGTATCGAATTCTTGATAATCAATATTTTTTGCTCGGAGAACTCTAGTTCTTTAGAGGAGACTGCCAATAAAAATACCCAATGGTTTATTTAACAATTTTTTAATACTAAAGAAA